GTAAGTGAACTTTTCTACCATTTTTGTTGAATTTAGGAAATTTTCGGTGAGCTGGAACCAATTACCCAAAAACCCATTGAAACAATGGTTTCGGTTAACGAACTTTTCGGTTAACGAACGACCTTCTGGAACGGATTGAGTTCGTTAACCGAGGGATCACTGTACTCCAAGATGGATCATAGTCCAAAATTAAATCTTTAAGGTGTTTTGCTGCTTGGAAAACTTCAGAAAATTTATGAAGTCAAACTTGTTGGCTCTTCCTCTTCATTGTCATCGCCTTCTTCTTCTGCAGACGATTTTATCAGTTCTAACTCTTCATTAGTCAAACTTTCTAGATGACCTTCGATTAAATCCTCAATTTCTTCCTCAACAATGTCATCAAAACCTTCGCCACCCACTTGCCTTACCTTGCCACCTGAACAATGTATCTCACTTCATTATCAATGGTTGGGAGCCCTTGAAATTATTCACGAACTCACCCCAAAGAGCACGCCAACATGCATTGACTGATATAGGCTTGATTGCATCAATTCCCTCTTGAATATAAGTGATGCAATTGGCTATGTTTAAGGATTTCCAACACTGTATTACATCAAGGTTGGGATCGGCATCCATAGTGCTTCATATTCGGGCAAACGTAAGCCGCGTGTATGTCACTTTGAAACAGCGACTCACGCCTTGGTCGAAAGGCTAGAGTATGGAGGGGGGCAGAAAGACAACTTCAACTTTGAGATGTACAAACTGGAGTGCCTCAGGTTGGCCAGGAGCATTGTCTACAATCAACAACATTTTAAATTCTAGTCCTCTCCCTTCAAGATATTGCTTGATTTCTGGAATCAAGCACTTGTGGAACCATTCAAGAAACAATGCTACCATCATCCAAGTCTTTTTATTTGATTTTTTTTTTTTTGCCTTTTAGGGCATGGGGATTGGCAGCTCTGTAAAGTAAGTGTTGCTTTATTAAATGCCCAGCAGCATTACTACAAATAAACAACAACACAGTCACATGATCCTCAGCTGTTTTGAATCCAGGGGCTTGTCTTTCTGATTTTGAAATATATGTACAGTTGAGCATCTTTCAGAAAAGCCGTCTCGTCAGCATTAAAACTTGTTCCAGAAGATTCCCATTTTCTTCTACAACTTTCTTAAATTCCTCAGGGAAGGCCTTTGCTGGGGCAGAGGTAGCCTCACCAGAGAGCCAGATGTTTTTGAGGTTGAAGTTGTTCTTATAAGTATTAAGCCAACCTTGGCTGGCTTTGATTCTTTTTCATGAGAACACTGTTCCTCTTCACTGGGAGGTTAAAATTGCATGTAAAGACTAAGAGCCTTTTCTCGCAAAACATTTCCATCGATAGGCACACATTTACGGTTCATATCTTCCAGCCATAAATTTAATGCTTTTTCAGTCTTCACTAAAGTTTTATCATGCACTTGGCTCGTCACTTTAGCAGTCATTGGGGCACTCGAGGAATAGCTAGATGAATTTCTTTCTCTCAAATCTTGATTGAATGGATGTTGGATTTGTTGCGGCCAATGCTTGTGATCAACAAACCATCCCTCAATCAGTCTAACACAACCACTTTTTCCTGCAACGTTAGCACAGATAATTTTTGGGGGGATTGAGCTCCAGACGAAGGAGTTGCCTTGCAATTGGAAGCCATGTTGTACGAAAATTTTAGTTTTAAATACGCTGTACACACTAGTCACAAACAGTGAGGGGAGCTGTTGACACAATGAACTACACGTGGTAACTAAGGCTGAGAGAGGCGAAGGTGTAAGTATCTCCCACAGCCATACGCTCTTACACTCACTGTGTCATAGTTTATCTTTTACCTAAGCCATGTGTGTAGAGTTGAATGAGCTTAAGTTAAATGTGTGTAAGATGCGACACGGCTGTATACAAATGTTTGCAGGGAAAAAGATTGCAGTGGGACATTCTGGAATTAATTGAAGTAAGATGGACAGGTTCATGTAGCATTAGTGATAAAGATTCTTACTTCAGGTGTTGGTATTCTTGTACAGCTCAAGTTGAGCAGCAGTGTAAAGGGATATTGTACAGTGTCTGAGAGAGTTTTATAAGTCAAGTTTAATGCTAAACCCCTGGATTTTTTTTTAAAATACAGGTTTATGAACTAACAAATGATGGTGAGGATGAAGGCTTAGACAAGTTTTATGAAGACTTAAAGAAAGAAAAAGATACTGTTAAGTTAAACACAAAAATTGGGAAGGGGAAAGTAGCACCAGAAGTAGGACCACAAGGGTTGGGTAAACGAAATGAGAGAGGAGAAATATTAATTGACTTTCATAAGGAAGCAAGATGATAATTGTAAATACTATACAGTGGGGTATGCTATAACGAACGGATCCTACTACGAATATTCCTATAACGAACGGTTTTACCTATAAAATTGAGAATGCTATAACGAACGAAACTCCTACAACGAACACTATTTAAATTTTTTTTTTCTAATTTATTGTTTTTTTATTACAAATATTAATGATATTCTTTATTTCAGGGGTTTAGATGCATATTTATGCACTTTTTTACAATTTTTACAATTTTATATTATATTTTTCAGTGTTAAGTGGTTGTATTTGGGGGCCTGGAACGGATTAATCCTATAACGAACGAATGCTATAACAAACAAGGTTCTAGAACCAATTAGATTCGTTATAGCATACCCCACTGTACATGGTTTGAACAACACTCTAGGCATCTCTATATATAGGTCTCACCTTAGGACAATGTCAATAACACAGTCAGGAATCAAATAGATTACATTTTAATTCAGGAAAGATTCACAAATTCAATAACCAAACCAAGACCTATCCAGGGGCAGATTGTGGGTCAGACTATGTCTCAGTAATGAGTTTAGTGAGGCTTAGACTTCAAAAATTAAAATGAAAAACTATGGACAAAATCAAATGGGATTTAGGTAAGATCAACACAAGGGCAGGGATAGAATATGAAATTGAACCCAAAAACAGATTTTCAGTATTGCTAGAGGGTGACTTTGATGAACAAGGACCAGGACAACAGTTTAATAATTACAAAGAAGTAATGTTAGAGACTGGGGGAAAACTTATAGGTCATAGGAGGAACGAGGCTCAAGGTAAGTGGATGACAAATGAAATTTTAAAAAAAAAATGGATAGACGAAAAAAATATAGGTATCCCTCATTTAGTGAGTGGGGTAAATGAGAAATATTATCAGTGGACCCCGGATCTGATCCTGAATACTGTCAAGAAGATTATCCCTAATCCCTACCCTACCTCAACTCAGGACAGGTAATGTGACCTAATTCCTTTGTTTTATGTCTTTCTCCCTTGTTTTGTTCTGTTAGTTGGCTGAAGAGGGTACTAGTATACCAGCTCCAAGATTTTGTCTTTTATTTCTCCAATGTTGGTTTTTACTTTATTTACCAGTGTGATCATTACACTTTCTGAGCACGATCTGCATATAAACAGCTTACCTGACAATGTAAATGTTACATTAATTTATTACTCTATTATTTATTTTATTATTAATTTAACCCTTAAGGCACCACCCAAACCGAGGGTCCCTGCAGGCATATTTCAGCAAAAATACACTTACAGTATTGCACTCTATACAGTATAATCAATGTGGCTTACAAATGAAGAAATAATAATATAAAATAAGAAAAATGAAGAGCCTATGTGGGAAGTGAGTGTGAGGAGGTGGTGGGTTACTGCGTGGCTCTGACCCTTCCTAACGGAACATCACGGCAGCCACACATCTACTCGTAAGCGCGAGTAGATGGCATCAGGAGGCATCGCACCATCCCCACGTGGTGCAATCTCCTTGCACTTTTTACATTTTCCCACCCTTCTACCCTCACCAGCAACATGAGGCATGGTTCAATACTCTGACAACACTGTTATCAATAAATGAAATTACTGCAATGAACGAGAAATCAGCACAAGCCACGAGAAAATGGTGGTCAATGTGGGTTAATGTAAAATCCTGTGCTGTTGAAACTCAAAGGAAGACTGGTGTGGTAACCTAACCTTGGGGGGCAGTCTACATAGTTGCCAGAATGCACCAATGTTACCAAATGTGTGTCTTAAGTATCTAGCGTTCATATGTAAACAAAAATATTTAATTTTTTTTTTTAATTAATACAAGTACACAAATTTGCCCATGAAAACCCTAAACTTACAATTTATATCAAATGCAATTTTGCATATGAAAATCCCAAAAGTGTTAAATACTGTACATTAAGTGGAAAATTTTGTGTATTTGGGAAGTAACATTAGCTGTGATGCCCTATTCTTCAAAACAAGAATAGGGCAGGCAAAAACAGCATTTAATAATAATTTAAAAGACCTAACGAAAAGGGGACAATAACTTCAATTTGAGAAAAAGGGCTGCTGAAATGCTATGTATGTTCAGAACTGTTGTATGGGTCAGAAGCGTGGACATGTTCAGCAGACACCAGAAGAGGTTGCAATCCTTTGTAATGTATTGTAATAGGTGAAGGATAAGAATAAAACATACTAACAGGAAAACAAACGAAGTACTGTACTAACATTAGCAAAAACTTCAAGAGAAATACTGTATACTTAAAATGTACAGAAAAAGAAAAATTTGATATTTTGGTTATACTTGTATAATTAGGGATGAAGCGATAATAAATATTGATGGGCAGAATTGGGGGCAGGAGTGCCAGGAGAAGGCAGAGATTGTGATGGTTGAATGAAACTAAAAACGGAGTCTCCAAAGAATAATCCTCGGAAGAGTGGTAAAAACAGCCCGAGAACATTTAGAGTGGAGGACTGTCCTCACCAACCCTCAGATATAAAGACAGTATTCTGATTGATTGTTTGAACAGGGTAGTGGTGGTCCTCTCAGGGCAGCTTGTGGGGTGGGTGGTGGTCCTCCCAAGGCAGGTGGTGAGGTGGGTGGTGGTCCTCCCTGAGCAGTTAGTGAGGTGGGAACATTTACTAACCACTTATGGTTGACTACCAGACCAGCTTACCTGACGAGTGATGGTAACTTCAGCGTAATGTTCATAACCTATGGGGCTTTGCTTCTTGTCTGTGTTGTCAAAGGTGATGGTGACTGTAGCCTTAGTCACACCTGCTTGTCCATTCTTGTATACCAGCTCCTGCAGGTTGGTAGCTCTCACCTATAATATAAGGAGGTGGCACTGTCACTTTCTTAGCTGGTGTGGTTTTCAGTTTTTAATAAGCCGACTTCCCACTTGTTAACCAATATAATGTGTGCCTCATCAAGCCACACTCCTGCACATCACTATACAATACACTATGCATTCTCCTCTGGTTATCAATATCTATAAAGCTCAGGCAAACTGTTGAGTGTGTCGGTAAGAGGGGTCATCAGGGTCACTCATAAAAATAAAGACTCCTACAGTGGGTGAACAAGATAGTACTGTACATTACCCACAAAGACCACTCACTTTGTAAGAAGGTACAGTTGTCTGCACTTACATCTGGTACAGTGGCTGGTGCATTTTGTGAAATGTGGCAACTCATAGAATGCATATCTATCATCCTTAGTTTGGCTCCTATTGTGAGGTTTCTTAGGGCCATTCTGGGAGATTCAAGACAATGTGCCAGCCACTATACCAGGTGTAAGTGCAGGTGACTGTAATGGTTCACAAGGGGCTGTGCCAAAACCCTACACTGCCAACGCATACAAAATGTACATAACCTGGTTTCAGCAGTTGAGTGATCATTCTCAAGAACCTGGCTCAAAACACTGAAAAGAGCAGCAAGAAACTGCCAAAGTAGGTAATCTTGCAGCCATAACAGAACTCACCAAGATGCGTCTTGCAAGATGGGCCATACTACAGCCTGGATTAACCCCAAATAATAATCAATAGTGTTTCAAAATAGCTAAGTGTCTCTGGCCTTAATGATATTATATATCAGTCTTCCCATTTGGGTAAATAATTAAATTACTGGTAATAAAACAAATAAAATAAGAAAATTTAGTATACCACTACTACTACTACTACTACTACTAATAATAATAATAATAATGATAATAAATCACAATTAGAATGACTGCAACACAATAATTTCCCAGACAAGTTATTAAATGTTTAAATCAGCTGCATAAATTCATTAAATTAATAGTGTAATGATGAATAAGTGTATAATCTTACTTGGCTGAGGTTTGTGATGCCAAGTAAGAAGCAAATGGCATCTAATATATTGGATTTTCCAGAACCATTCAGACCAGTGATGGCATTGAAGAGAGGATCAAAGTCATTAATTTCAGTGCGCTGGCCATAACTCTTAAAGCCATCAACCACCATAGACTTGACATACATCTTGTGTAGGCGTCACGTCACTCTTAACCTGCAAGGAAAACAATATACAGTACGTAAATAATATTGATATATTTATTTTTATTTTTGTCAAATTGTAAGACTGAGTCTTGATAAAAAATTTATATGGCTGAGGCTGGGTAGAGGTACAGTATTACCCACTTTTTTTTCTTTTTTTTTTTACAAGAATTAGCCCACCCGGGCACAGGTCAAACAACCCACAACGGAGCCTGGGGGGCAAAAAAAAAAAAAACGGAAAGAAATTGTAAATACCGTATAGAAAAAAAAAAGGTTATACAGTGGGGTATGCTATAACGAATCTAATTGGTTCTAGAACCTCGTTCGTTATAGGATTAATCCGTTCCAGGCCCCCAAATACAACCACTTAAAACTGAAAAATTTCTGTGGGAATTGTAAAAAATACGGTACTTTATCTTACCTTAGCGTTGTTAGTATGCAGGACAGGAGGCAGAGGAGGAGGGGGGAGGAGAGAATTATGGAGAAGAGGTGGAAGGAGAGGAGTCATCCTTCCTAGCCCTCTTTGGTGACTGTCTTACAGGCACTTTGTTTATTTATAATTTCTTTCTTAGTTTCAAGGGTTATTAGCTTTCTCACTCGCTTTTGGCGATTCATTGTTACAATTGTACACTTGTATAACAAAATAGTTATAAAAATAACACGAATTTCCACATCAAAAGACGAAATTTCAACAAGTTCAGTGGTGCACTGACTACACAATGAACTAATATGGCGCCTGACGCTCTTGCTGTGAGCCGCGGTACAACAATATTCATGCGCCAGACGAAATAGTCCCGTATTCATCCGCGTTCGTTGTAGGAGTTGCATTCGTTATAGCATTCTCAATTTTATAGGTAAAACCATTCGTTATAGGAATATTCGTAGTAGAATCCGTTCGTTATAGCATACCCCACTGTGCTGCATTAATCTACACCACGAAGATGCCGGAAAACCAGCTTTTTAAAGTGAGACAGATTGTAAGAGCATGGAAACACAGAAGAAGGAAGAGCATTCCACAGTTTGGCTGTGTGAAGAAAGAAGGAGGTACTAAAACGGGTTATTCTCGTATGACTGACATCCACAGAGAAACGGTGGGCACCGCGGGCAAGAAGAGTGTTGCGAACCCACGGCCTTGCCAGCGGTACATAGGATGCCAAGTCCACCGAACATTGCCTGTTAAAGTACCTGTAAAAGAGAGAGAGTGAAGCAACACTGCGGCGAAGAGAAGGGGAAGAGAGATTGTCGACTAAAGGAAGAGAGTTAATAAGACGAAATGCCTTAGATTCCACCCTATCTAATAGTTGGACAGAAGAAGAGCCACCCCAGATATGAGAGCAGTACTCCAAGTTAGGACAAATGAATCCTTTATATACTTGGAGCAACTGCTCAGGAGTGAAGTAGCTACGGCATCAGTACAGCATTCCCAACTTTCGGGAGGCAGCTTTAGTTATACTAAGGATGTGTGATTTCCAGGGCATATTGGAGGAAGTGGCGAGGCCTAACATATTTATTTCAAAAATTGAGAGGATGATGGCGTCCTGAAATGTAATTGGTGGGAGATCGTCTAATTTACAAAGTGTAATTTGTAAATATTGAGTATATGGGGTTAAAAGGTCACCACTAAAGGTCAGACTCATAAGTCATGAGGTACAGTATAGTACAGGTTGACTATATTCTAAATCCCCAACTCGTAACACTCTCAAAAAGGTTCGCCACCCCTGGACTAGAGTATACCAGTAGGTCACCGACGTCACCTCTCTACCGCTAAATACTGACGTATCATATCCTGATTGGCCAAAACATAAACTTTATCTAAATTACCCTACTGACATTAATTCCACTTATCTAACCTATATACAGACCTAATACAATTTAACGTGATACAATGTAAGAAACAAATTTAATACTTAAATAATGACCCAGTCAGTGTGGGCGAGTAATGAGCGAAACTGCTCGAGCCAACCACGCACCAACCGAACCAACGTATTTCATACCAAGAACAGAAACTTATGGCGGACACTCCTAACAATCTGCGTAATTACAGTATAGTCTGGATTTACGTGGATTTTGTTTACGCGTTTGGTCATTTATGCGGTGCCTTGCCAGAATGAAATGTTTTAATTACCCGGTAAATTTCATCATTTACGCAGGAAGCGGTGCGGGCAGGGTGCGCACAAGGTCGTCCAGTCATCAAAACATTACCAAGTTCTTCACCCGCCACCCACCACAGCCAGCCCAAGTCAGTGAAAGTGATAGTGAGAGTGAGGATATGCACTTTGAGGGGTTTGACAAAGAGGCCCTGCAAGCCTCTGTGGTGGATAGTGATACAACTGATACAAGTGATACAGGTGAGGGCCAATAATCTGCCCACTGCCTCGGAACCAACCCCCCATCCCCATGTGCCCAGCCATCTTTTCTACTAACGTAAGTGGTAAAAAACCTAATATTATTGATATTTCTCTTTAATATTAATTGTGTGTGCATACCACCATAAAATTAAGATGTTATTTTTACTACAACGTACGTATTGTCGGAAAAAGTGTAGTTTGGGGGTCGGCCCAGTCTCTATTTCAATTAATCCCATATGTTCTGTTATTTCGTTTACGCGTTTCTCGTTTTACGTGGACCTCCACGGGTTCAATGGACCACGTAAATGCAGACTATACTGTACCATCTTCAATGCCTCAAGTCCAATACTCCTACTCGCATTTTTAATTTTTACTTTGCATAGCAGTAAAACGCCTTTGGGTTTGACTTGACCTCGCTTGCAACCAGCCTCTGGAACTCCTTTTCAGCCCTTCTACACTCTACCTTTGCTTGGTTCCTGGCTCTTGTATACATCCTCCTGTCCTGTTCATCATTTGACCCAACACATGCCTTGAATTTCTGGGTTTTCTTAACTTTGTTGACCGCCGCATGGTTCATGTGTAGGGGTCTCCTTGTATTCCTAGAGGCACTGGGTTTGGTCTTGAGTATATATTTCTTAATGAAATGGTTCACTTTACTGGCTATGATATTCAGCGCAGTGTCTGCGTTCTTATACCTTAGTGAGTCAGGCCAGTAGATACCCCTCATCTCCTCCCTCATCCTGTCGTAATTACCATTGTAATATATGCACCTTGGCCTGGTTTTGTCATGAACCAAGTAACAGTTTAATCTGAAGGACAACATTACATGGTGGCTGGTGCCACTGTATAACTAAATCATTAAAACCATCTGTAAATAATTAAAATTCCCCAAAGGTTTATTAAAACCATAAAAAGGGTTTTTTTTAAACCATTTCGTTTATACCACTGGTTTAAATCAGCCAACCCAGATTAAAATAATAATATACCAACAAATAAATAAATAGTTTTTAACAGGAATTTTTATATCAATATTTGGACAAATTTGTCTTAGCTGGAGTATCATACTAGTTAGTAAAATCAGCTTTAATTAAGTTAGACACACCATTTTTACCCATAAAATCCCAAATATTTTATCTAAAACTTTGGTTAAATAAATAAAAAAAATAAAAATAAAAGATCAATATGGCAGAAATTTATAGTTTCAAATTATTTTAACTTTTATCTTATAATATATGGCCAATCAGCATGAGTGTTGACGTGACGTTATAGTCGTGAGCACCAATCAGCTCATGCGCAGATGTGAAGTAATACTCGTGCACCAATCAGCACAAGTCTTGATTCTAGGGCAGATGGAAGATGGCGTCTGTGTGAGAAGGATGTACATTGGCATTTTGGACAATGAAGCAGCAGCCGTTGACAGTTTTAGGGCTCATCGTGTTCTTATTTCATTTGTAAAGTGTCCGAGATGTAATTCAGTGTCAACACTGCGTAGATTGCCATGCATGGTACAGTAAGTCCTTGTTTAACGTTGCCCCAATAACATTGTTTCGTTATAACATCGCTACTCTTTAGATACCAATAATTCGGTTTACGTCCCGACGAATCAATATAATGTCTTTTTGGCGTCGTCACGGATTACTTTTTACGGTGCCTCACCCTCTGTCGCCATGGCGCGCTACCTCTCACTCATGTGACGTCATAGCATCCCCAAATATCGTCAGTCTTTGTTAGGCTTCCACAGTGTTCGTGAGTGTTTAAGTGTTTTTGCTCTTAATACTGTACACTAACAATTCGAAATGGCTTCCAAGCGCCCATCAAGTGCTACTGATACTAGTGTTGTGAAGAAGCAACATAAGACTAAAATGGCAAAAAAAATGGTGATTTTAAACCGGGAGGAGCCACATGCCGGGTCTCAGTGACTCGCCATCCTCCTCCTCTGCCCCACTACCCACCACACAATCGCTCCGCCACCTCCGCTCATCGGTGGTTACAATACAAAACGATTTAGATTATTTATATATAAGTATACTATTTTCTATAAAAATGCCATTGGATTTCTGTATATGTAATGTATTTCATGGGGCAAAGGGAGGCTCAGGAATGTAACTCCAGTGTTTTATTTATTTATGGGGAATATTGATTCCATTAACATTGCGGTTTTTAGGAATAGAACCACGACGTTAAGCGAGGACTTACTGGGCTGTGGTAAGAGACGGACACAGACGAAGGCACCACTTCCTCATTCAAGTTGCATCACTCTATCCTCCTGTGTCTCTTACTTAAGGTAAGTTTCTTACACACTAGGGGTTAGGTTAGGTTAGGTTTTTTCAGATTTTTACACCTTTTTAACTTCCAATTTTTTTTCTTCAATATCTCAACAATGGCTCATTTCCAACGGCAATGATGGTCATATTTGTATTTATATTATGATTTACACGAAAAAATATATTTTAAAAGTCAATTAGGTGTTGGCAACGAATACAGTCCAACTCGGCCCACCTACTCGGACCATCTCGGATAACCAACTCGGACCACTTAAGTTAATGAACACATTTTACACATTTATTTTTGCATGAAGATAAAAGTACAAAAGTAACAATGATAAAATGCAGTATAAAAGTACAAACATAACTGATAAACAGTCACGTGATGAACACCTTGCAGCAAATTTCTAGCAGATCTTCGTCCACTACTGAATCCATCCCACAGTTTGAAGAGCTGTCCTTGGTGATGTACATACTTGGCCCGTTGTTTTCATAGCACTTTACCGTCGGTCAAGAGCCGCACCTGGAGTGTCATTAGTTTTGTTTCATTATTGAGCAGCCTGATTAACAGATAAAAGTTAAGTTGTCCTTTTCTTGCTTTCGGTTAAGGCGATTATGCCACCCTTCACAGTCATTATTTGTGTGGACACTCCTTTTAAATACACTCCAAGCAGATGGGGTCCAGATGTCATTCCTGAACCTCTAATCAGCTACTTGTTTGAAGTGTGCAAGGTGGGCCGAGTTAGTAATGTGTTGACCAAGTTGGTTATTTAAGATGGGCCGAGTTGGGGGTACACCGTTGGCAACTACTAAATATTTACCAAAAATACTTGGACTTAAATATTTCTATTTATATCGGAAGAAAGCAAATAAACTATGTTCTTTTACGTTTCCGGAGTAAATTTATATTTTTTTAGTATTTTAACAGACAACACCTCCCCAATTACCAACAACATTGGTTGTTCAAAGTGGGTAGTAGAGGGAAAATGTGGGGTAAAATATTAAAAGAACACCGAACATGCCTTTGAAAACCTAACCTAACCTAAATTGACCTAACTTGTAAAATGGTTAAAAATACGGTAATGTCTGAAAACACCACTACCACCAGAATGAGTCGTTCGATTTTGTTAATTTTTTCCACAGATGTTTTTATTATTATAAATGGGGCGACATTTACTAGAACCTAATAGAACCTGACCTAACCAACCAACGAAACCTACCTGACCTGACCTAACCTAACTTCCTAGCCAGGAGGCTTAACCAATCAAAGCGCACTCACAGTAAAATAGCGTTAGTAGGAACTTAGCCGGTCACGGCAAAATATACACTACATTTAAGTTTCAGTCAACTGGAGAATCTTAAGAATTAGGTTAGGTTAGATGGTAAACTTGCAGTTTTGGCCAATATGCCCTAGTAGTTTAGAAATTAGTTCATCCTGTGTATTTTGGTGTGATTTAATCGAATTGAACCTTTATTGCCAGGGAAAAGTACCCATTTCAGAGTCCCCCCCCCCCAAAAAAAGTATTGGAAAACTTTAAAATTTATTTGACATTATTCTTTGCCCCTTGGTTGAAATGGCGTTAGAAATACCTATACTCCAAATAAGGAGATCTTATGGTTAGGGATGGTTAACACAGTTAGCCATGTATTGGCCGAAACTGCAATAATACCGAGAAGATATCCGAACAATGTTTATATGATGGTTTTTTATGTTTTGGACTATTTGGACCTACATAATTATGTCGGAAATCACAGTTTGGATATAATACTACAGGGGTGACCGAAACTCAAATTGGTAAAATTATTGTTTCAATCCTGCACCTATTTGTAAATAGATCAGAATCGTTCAAAACACATCAGAAACCATCGAAAAAACATAATTTCAACCGAACTTAACCTAAACTTAAATACCTAACTGCCCTAACAGGTCAAATTCGCTGCATGACCGAAACAATAATTACCTAAAATTTTACCCCCATAATTACCCGAAATAATAACATAATAATAACTTCCTTTGGCGTTAGCCATCTGCTCTAGTACAGTATTACCGAAAAACCTGCCAGTGTGACGGCACCGAGTGTGAGCTGTTTCAAGACCAGACTGGACCAACACTGGAGCAGGTTCAGGTACATTCAGGAGCCAGTACATGCCTAGTACTTACCAACAGTGCGTAACAGAGACGTGACCGATCGCCCAAACAGCTAACAAGTGGTGAAGAGGATAAAGCAAACTGTCCCCCAGGTGATATACCTAAAATAATCTTTTGTTACTTGAAAAGAGGTGGTGGTTGGGCCCCGTGTTAGGCCTCTCTTTCTCTCCCTCACAGCATAACTTACCCTCTTGAGTCTCATATCTCCATAACCGTTCATTCATACCTCAATTACCAATGTAGGTCACCGCAGGAATAGAATTCTAATACATATAAGTACAATATTCTTAACCTAAATTTCAAACCTGTGTGCCGCCTCCTGCCCGCCAAATTCACCTTCAGTCAAACTCACAACTATTTTATCGTACAAAAGTTTATAAGTAAAGAAATTTTTGAATAATAATATAACAAATAAATATATTAGTAGTATTTAATATTATATTTAAAAGTAAATGTGTGAAATAATTTAAACTAATTTAAAAAGTATTTCATAATACTATATGTTTTGATTTGTACTATTTACCTCCTCAACATATAAACATAATCATAAAGAAAACGTTTAGTCATATTATGGGGGACGATAGAATAATGGAGAAAGGGGAAGATAGTATATTTCTTATATACTTACTGTATTTACTTAATGAAAATAGTAAAACACACGACCCGGTGAGTTTCAGAACATTAAACTTTACGCAGAAGTTCTGAATATAACAGTGATAC